CATGTGTAGAGTCGCCTCTTGTGTTGTTGGAAAAGAGGGTTAATGATGACCAGCTTGTTCTCTTGCCAAAACTCTATTAGCCTTTGTGCTGCTTCGTTTTGACCTCCAAGGCCAAACTTACCTGTTGTTCCTTTTATCTCTTGACTTCCTACTTTAGCATTCCAGTCCCCTATAATGAGAGGAACATCTTTCTTCAGTGTAAGTTCTAGAAGGTGTTTAAGTCTTCATAGAACTGGTCAATTTCAGCCTCTTCAGCATTGGTGGTTGGTGCATAAACTTGGATTACTGTGATTTTGAAAGGTCTGCCTTGGATTCGTATTAAATCTTTCTATCATTTTTGATGTTATATCCCAGTACAGCTTTTCCCACTCTTTTGTTGACCATGAGGGCTACTCCATTCCTTCTACGGGATTCTTGCCCACAATAGTAAATATGATAATCACCTGAACTGAATTTGCTCATTCCTGTCCAGGGAATGTCAATGTTATTCTTGCTCAGGATGTCAATGTTATTCTTGCCATCTCCTGTTTGACCCTATCCAGCTTACAAAGGTTCATAGATCTTACATTCCAGGTTCCTATGCAGTATTTTTCTTTACAACATCGGACTTTCTTTTCACTTCCAGGCACGTCCACAGCTGAGCGTCCTTTCGGCTTTGGCCCAACCACTTCATTAGCTCTGGAGCTACTTGTACTTGTCCTCCGCTCTTCCTCAGTAGCACGTTGGGCTCCTTCTGACCTGAGGGGCTCATCTTCCAGCGTCATATATTTTAGCCTTTTGTTTCTGTTCATAGAGTTTTCTTGGCAATCATACTGGAGTGGCTTGCTAGTTCTTGCTCCAGGTGAAGCTCGTTTAGTCAGAACTCTCCAGTATTTCTTCCACTGAATATGTTTCTTCCACTAAAATATAGCATAAATTAATTGTTCTGGCTGACTCTCTTAAATATTGTATCTATTGCAAAAATACACATCTATGTAACCTCAAATCATTTTTAATTTGAGAACCTTATGAAAGTGGAAGATAATTTGGTCCTGTCTGTGGAAGACTTCTGCTGCCTGATCCGTCCATTCAGTGAGGCTGCCCTATGGATTTTATATATCTAAAGGAGGAAATTAAAAAATGCTGAACAAGAAATGAAGTACATGTGTTTATTCCCATATATACCATTTTATCTCAGAGTTTTAGTCTTATATATGCTTATGAATAAGTTAAATATTGGAATATTTTCAGAAATAAGAGCTGATATTCTCCATCTGGTTCGATTTTAAGATGCTCGGATGGGAGCTATTGTTCTCATTTCTATTAGCTTTTTTACAAGAAACTCAGTGTAACTCAGCAGGTTTAGTAGCAAGAGAAGAGAAAATATTAGGCTCTCCAGAGAATGTTTATATAAAAGTATCTGAGCGGAAATAAAAATAATGAGTAAAGTAATAGTTTATGAGTATTTAAAATAATGAATAAAGTAATAAATTTGTAAGTGTCTCTTGTTAATAAAGGATGTAAATCTTAGTTGTGTAATTACTTTAACATGGCTCTGTATGTATTTCAGGAAATGAGTGGCTTATATTCACCAGTCAGTGAGGACAGCACTGTGCCTCAATTTGAAGCACCTTCCCCATCACCCAGGTATTAATCTATTGGCAGAATTTGGCATTCACGTAATCCCTTTCTCCCACCCCCTGCACCTTCTATATAATTCAGTATTGTTTTTCATCAATATTCGTGTTTTCACCGCAAGATTCGTAATTTATGTAGATGTAAAGATGAGTGGGAGATATGTAATGGTCTATGTAACACATTAGTCTTCAGCTACATCATGCTCCAATTTAGTGCTTGATGGTAGTGTCACAGTTTTTTGTTCAGTGTATCTATATAACTACAGTGGTGCCTCGCAAGACGATGTTAATTCGTTCAGCGAAAATCGCTTTTTTGCGAAAACATTGTCTTGTGAAATGTGGTTCCCCGTTGGGATGCTTTGAAATCCATTTAATGCATTCCAATGGGGAAAATAGTCGTTGTCTTGTGAAAATCGCCCACAGAGAAACCGTTTTGCGAAGTGTGGATCAGCTGTCAATATCGTTGTCTTGTGAAAAATGGTCCCGGAAAAAAAAAACCTCATCTTGCGAAGTACAGACCAAAACATTGTCCAGCGGAAATCACCCATAGGAAAAACTATAGAGATCACAAAAACTCATTGTCTTGCAAATAAACTGTTTTGCGAGGTAATTGTCTAGCGAAGCACCACTGTAGGAGAGAGGGTGTGAGAGAGAGAAAAAAATGAGAAGACAAAGAAGATAGAGACTGCATGCCTCTACAGGACTGTAAAAGAGGAATTCTGTAGCTCTGTGGAAGGAGTTTTAGTAGGACATAAGAGGATCCCTGCTGGAGTCACAGCAAAGACCTGAGTACAGCAGCAGGCTTTCCTACACATACATCTAGGAGAAGGCAGTTGTTCTCTGCTAATGCATTCTGAACAACATGTGGGGCTCTGCCATTCTTAGTTCTGGAGGTAACAGATTGCCATTATAACAAGTTCCAACCTTTTTCTCTGTACATGATAAGCTGCCTCCTTCCTCCATAAGTTCTTCCACAATAAGGAGCCTTATCATCTTTTTTTTTGTTTACTTTGGAAAAGGAGTGTCAAATGGAGATAAATGAGAACATATAGAAGTGGGCCAGTCTTACCCATTTAGGTTAAAAGTGTGTACTGAATGAGAACATGTGGAAGGTTGTTGATGTGTTTCCACCCTATACCAGCCTACTTGACACTTGAAACATTCCTACCAAATGCTCATCACATAAATACCATTGTTCCTTTGCTCTACTTGTTTTCAAATAAGCGTAAAAAACTGGATGTCAGTTTAAAAAGAAGCAACATTTGTCTTCTCTAATAGGCTTTGAATTAAATTAGTTTCGATTTTCCATATAATTTATTATAATTGTTTAAATGTATAAATAATGGCTGAAATCTCACATGCACAGCAGAGTTAATATTCTTTGCCTAAGATATCGGTTTGAGTTTTACATGTATAAATTATTTGTTTTTCTCTGCCTACTTGTTTTAATTTTGTGAATGATATCAGCCTGGATAAGCAATATGCATTCTTCTTGTTATGTAATTTGCTTTCTTCACTAGAAATGTTATCAGTTGTCAGTTACCCAGTGACCTTCTTGATCCTTTGATTTGTATGCCACAACAGGCTACTTTCCATTTGTCTCGATGACAAAAGTTTGGAACCAATTTTAATCTTCACCAGGAGTGGTTAGTAGCAGGCAGGAAGGGTGGGCTTGTGTTACATGGCCAGTCTCACAAACAGGAGAAAGAATCTATTATATATAAGTTTCCTGTATTCTTCCAATTTTGCCAACACCAAACAGCATAAAGAAAAATATTGCTGCCGCCCCTCTTTTCTGACTACTGTAATTGAAGCAGCCAGTTAAGAAAAAGTCTTGGCATGGAGAAAAAACTTTCTGAAGAGTTCTGCCTTTTAGTGTTTTTGTTAAATAGACAACACAGAAATATTAAATTGCATTTATTGGCACAGATTATAGTGGCTAGTATCCTATCATACTACACAACTATAGAAGGGTGATTATAGAAGCATTTCTCCAACTCCAGAAGGTTTTCGTTTGCATGCCTTATCTCACACCGTTTGTGAGATTGGCCATGTAACACAAGCCCCCTGGAGTATGGATATATTAATGATTGCCCTTATACCCTGAAAAGGATACTGATCAATATTGTTTTAGCATAGCAATCTGCATATCTAGTACAGTTATGTTTTGTGCCGTTGAGTCAGAACTGACTTATAATGACCTTAACAGTGCTTTCAAAGTAAGTGAGGTATTTAAGCAGTGGCTTTCCCAGGTCCACTCCCCCAGTCAGTTTCCATGTATGAGTGGGGGTTTGAACTCTGTTCTCCAGAGTCCTAGTCTGTCACTCTATTCACTACACTCTACTGAGGATATCCCCCCAGTATCTAGGTTCACTTATCCGCTGACTGAAAATATTAAATAAAAATCACAGAAATGAAAATATATACAACATATACTTTCTCCTGAAGGATCCAAGGTGGTTTACAGTATTAAAAGAAACAAAGGCAAAAACTAAATAATAAATTAGTACAATATTTAAAAAATGATTAAATAAATTTTAATCCCACAAATAGAACAATACTAAAAACAGAAGTAAAACATAGGATAAAATGTTAGCTTTGCAAATTGCTTTGGTCAACCAGTCATTTAAAGGAAAGCATGCCTGAAGAGAAAGCCCTTTGAATGCAGTAGCAAAATATATAATGTACTGTCTCTCAGCCACTCAGTGTCATTCATTTGTATGTTCTCATATACGGTATGTTCTCGCCGTGTGCGGAAATATTTACTTGGATACTTAATTACTTACTTACTTATTATATTTATTTGGATATTATATTTATTTGGATATATAATATTTATTATATTTATTTGGATTTATTTGAGTTATTTGCTAACAAATAGTTATTTTCATAACCAATTTTTACTTTTGTTTGTTTTTAATGGAGGCAGTAGGTTAGAAAAGCCAAGCTTTACAGAAAGAAGCAAAGGAAATTAAGATTTTGTTCTTCCTTCGCTTGCCTTTGCTTTCCTTTCTTAACTGCAAAAAAAAAACAAAAACAAAAACAAAAACAAAAAAAACCCATAACATTTCTTGAATCCTTTGCAGACCCCTGTTAGGACATCATAACTGCCCAGGGGTCTGCCGACCACTAGTTAATAACCTAGGATCTAGAATAAAAACGTCTGGCTGGGAGATGATTGGGAGACCAAACTACTTGCCAAGCAACTGTTCAGGAGCCTAGAAATAGTTTCAGATTGGTTGTAAAAACAGAGTTTTAAATCAAGAACACAGAAACAGGATTTCACCTTGGATCATAACTGTGTTGAGGAAAACGTTTCCGAGGGAGATGGAGCTTTATGAAACAAAGCAGAGAAGGGATGCTAATATTACCTTGCTCCCTCTGGGTGTATTTGCATGTAACATTCCCCAGAGAATTCTTAACACAAGCTCCACACTCCCAGCTTATCTATTAAATGAGTAAGCTGCTTGGTTTAAAGTCAGCAGTTCCTAAACTGTGATGGAGGGAGTAACTTTCTGGGATTCTGAGAAGGGTAGAAGAGGTAGGTCAGTGCTCCTAAGATTGTTCATGAGCACCTTGGACTGGAAACTTACAGATGTACTAAATAGAAAGATCAATTATATAATGCTGCTATGAATGAAAACTACCTAGAAAGCCAAAGCTTGAAGGTGTGAGTGAAAGGTAACTAGGAAATTCTGAGTAAAGCTAGCCCTGCATAAACAGGAGATATCTGCTCATACAACATAGCGATACAGTTAACACAACACTGAGTTAAACTCTATACCAAAATGTGTGATATAAATACCAGAATAAGAGAAGAACCATGCTGGTTATTTCATGAGGAATGGTCTGTGACATGGGTGAATTGCAGATGGGTCTCAAAATTGTGCCCCCCAACTCTAATTAGAATTGCTATGCTTATCATTCTAAGCCTGTAATCTGTGAAAAAGGTCCTTAATTGTATTCCTTTAATAACTTTTTCAAAAGAATGCCCTAGCCTTCTCTTTATAGTATTAGAGAAATTAATTATGTTGAAATCTGTAAAATAAATTTTATAAATTGTTATTTATACAAATTATTTTCTCCTTTATTTCTACAGTAGCATTATTGATTCTACAGAATACAACCAGCCTCCAGGATTTAGTGGTAGCTCCCAGGTAAGATATAAACTGGTATATGCAGAGTGGGAAAATAAGGTGTAAGGGAAGGCTGGGTAATTTCAGAGGTCCAGAAAATGCATCAGTTTCTGTTCCTGTCACTGTCCCCACATTTTTACTCAAACAAGTGCCGTCTATATTTCCCAGTTGGGATAAGAAACAATACCATTAGTTTTTCTGTTGCCCTGTTTTAAGTATAGGAAGGAGATTAAAAAACAAAACAAAATGGGAAGTCATTGAAAATAATTCCAGTTTTGAAAACGGTGCCTCCACACCTAAAATAGTTTGTGGAAGGCAAATATCCTGGTGGAATTCTCTTAGAGTATGCATTGGATAATTTGTATTTTCCAAATACGTTTGAGAAATGGATAGGACATTGGTGTTTGCCTTGGGGGACACGAAGTCCAAATTAGTCCTGTGGGAGTCCACTTGCAACCAGTGGCCCACAATTTGTCCACTAATGGTGTACAATGTCTCTCTTAATTCAGAATGCTGACCTGAATGCATTTAAATATCGGTGAGGTGTAAAAGCTAGTTCATGGTTTGAAACCTTTACATTATGCTGGGTGTTTTTAATGATCTTTGAACAGTATGAGAAGATGTGGGTGGAGGTCTGTGTCTAGAAAGTGCAGATAAAGCCTGACAGTTTTATTCACATCTCTCAAATTTTGGAAAAAAGAATAGCAGCTTCCAAATTCACTGATTAAGATCAGTGTCATGCTGCTGCAGTGAGTGGCAATAATCCTTTCTGTATCCTTTTTGGCACTAAAAATGGCTACTACTCAAATTGATGGTATGATTGAGTGGTACATACAGTGGTGCCCCGCATGACAATGATAATACATTCCATAGAAATCGCAGTTTAGCAAAAACATTGTCTTGCGGAAACCATTTCCCCATTGGAATGGTTTGAAACCCGTTTAATGCATTCCAATGGAGAAAAATCGTCGTAGTTTTCCGAAGAGTGCCCATAGGGAAGCCATTTTGCGAAGTGCCGATCAGCTGTTAAAATGGCTGCACCGCGAAGCATCGGTCCTTTAAACACCCGTTTTGCGAAGCGCCGATCGGTGTTAAAATCATCGTCTTGCGAGAAACGGTTTGCGAGGCAGGGACCCAAACATCATTGAGCAAAAATCGCCCATTGGAATCGCTGTTTTGCGAATCGCTATAGTGATCGCAAAAGCTCATTGTCATGCAGATCCGTTGTTTTGCGAGGTCGTTGTCTAGCAAGGTACCACTGTACTGCATACATGTTTTGCTACATACAGTATACACTTGAAGGAAGGAAAATTTTCAGTGGGAAGGGTTACCATTTGTTTGCCTGGCTTTCCTCTTATGATTCACTTGGGTGTTCTCCTTAAAAATTGCAACAGAATCATAGAATCCTAGGATAATTGAGTTAGAAGGGGTCTGTAAAGCAATCAATTCCAATGCCTTTCCCAGTACAGGAATCTGAGTCAAAGCCAATCTGACAGATTGTTGTACAATTTTCTTTTGAATGCTTCGAGCACTGGAGCACTCACCACCTCCCAAGGTACAGTGGGGCCTCGAATTATGAACATCCCTACTTATGAAAATTTTGAGGTACGAAAAGCTCCACCCGCAAAATTTGTTTCGACTTGTGGCCGGAGCTTCAACCTACGAAAGACAGGGGGAAAGGGTGGGAAATTCAAAGCTGTCCCCGCTGCCCTCTGCCTCCTGTCCCCACTGTCCTCTGCCTCCTGTCTGGTGCCAGCTTCCCAGGTGTCCAAGCCCCCTCCGCTGCCCTCTGTCTCCTATCTCCGTTGTCCTCTGCCTCCTGTTCCTGCGGGGACAGGAGGCAGAGGCAGCGGGTGCAGTTTTGGAAGCCCGGGAAGCCAAAAGCCACCCTGACTTCCGTGCCTGCTGCCAGCTTCCCAGGCGTCAAAACTGCTCCTGTTGCCCTCTGCCTTCTGTCCCCACAGGAAAGGGAGGCAGAGGGCAGTGGGGACAGGAGGGAGAGGGCAGTGGGTGCAGCTTTGGAAACCCGGGAAGCCGAAAGCCGTCCCGACCTCCGTGCCTGCTGCCTGCTTCCCGGGCATCCAAACCCCCTCCGCTACCCTCTGTCTCCTGTCTCCGTTGTTCTCTGCCTCCTGTTCCTGCGGGGACAGGAAGCAGAGGGCAGCGGGTGCAGTTTTGGAAGCCCGGGAAGCCAAAAGCCACCCTGACTTCCGCGCCCGCTACCAGCTTCCCAGGCGTCGAAACCGCTCCTGTTGCCCTCTGCCTTCTGTCCCCGCAGGAAAGGGAGGCAGAGGGCAGCGGGGACAGGAGGGAAAGGGCAGCGGGTGCAGCTTTGGAAGCCCGGGAAGCCGAAAGCTGCCCCGACCTCTGCACCAGTGCCAGCTTCCTGGGCGTCCAAACCCTCTCTGTTGCCCTCTGTCTCCTGTCCCCGTTACCGTCTGCCTTCAGTCCCCACGGGAACAGAAGGCAGAGGGCAGCGGGGACAAGAGGCAGAGGGCAGCGGGTGCAGCTTTGGAAACTCGGGAAGCCGAAAGCTGTCCTGACCTCCGTGCACACTGCCTGCTTCCCGGGCATCCAAACCCCCTCCACTACCCTCTGTCTCCCGTCCCTGTTGCCCTCTGCCTCCCGTCCCCATTGCCCTCAGTCTCCTGTCCCTGTGGGGAAGAGAGGGCAGCGGGGACAGGAGGCAGTGGGCAGCGGGTGCAGCTTTGGACGCTCGGGAATTTTTTTTCTTTGGCCAGAATGGATTAATTGATTTTCAATGTATCCCTATGGGAAATGGTGCTTCCACTTAAGAAATTTTTGAGTTATGGCCACCTATCCAATACAAATTAATTTCGTAAGTCAAGGCACCACTGTAATTGGTTCCAGTGTTGTACTGCTCTAACAGTTAGGAAATTTTTTCCTATATTCAGCCTAAATCTGGCTTCTTGTAGCTTGAGTCCATTATTTGATATCTTGCACTCTGGGATGACAGAGAACAGATACTTTCCTTTGTATTACTTTCAGGAATTTGAAAAGGGCTATTGTATCTTTCCTCAGTCTTCTTTTCTCAAGGTTAAATGTGCCCCATTCCTTCAGTCTTTCTTTATAGGGCAGTGATGGTGAACCTATGGCATGCGTGCCACAGGTGGCACGTGAAGCCGTTTCTTCTGGCACACAACAAACCTTTTGAAGTGGCTGCAGCTGGGATTCCCCCTTTCTCTTCATGTTCTGGATCCTTTAGCTTCCTCTCCGTCCCCACGATTCCCCCTTTAACTAACTTCCTATCTATCCCCATGATTCCCCTTTAACTTCCTGTCTGTCCCCATGATTCTCCCTGAAACTGCCACTTCCTGTTCCAGTTCTGGTCTTCTGGGTGGCACGGCAGCCCCTGGTTTATTCCCCACCCCCTCATTTTGGGCACTCGAGCTGAAAAAGCTTTGCCTCCACTGTTATAAGGGCTTCATTTCCAGTCCCTTTATCACCCTTGTTGCCCTCTGAATTTGCTGTGGTTTGTTGGCATCTTTCTTAAAGTATGGTGTCCAGATGAAACTTGACCAGTGCTGAATATAGGGGTCCTAGTGCCTTTTTTTGCAGTTACATCACAGTGTTGGCTCACATTCAGCTTTTGATCTACCGTATTTTTTGCTCCATAAGACGCACCTTTCCATAAGACGCACCAATTTTTTAGGAGAAGAAAATAGGAAAATATAATCTGTTTTCTTTGCTCCATAAGACGCACAGACTTCCCACCTCCCTGTTTTGTGGGAAAAAAGTGCGTCTTATGGTGCGAAAAATACGGTATATTAATTCTAAGATCCTTGTCACTCATAGTAGTACTGAGCCAAGTATCCCCCACCTTATAACTGTGCATTTTGTTTTCCTCCTTAGGTGTACAACTTTGCACTTATCCCTATTAAATTTCATTCTGTTGTTTTCAGCCCAGCGCTCAAGCCTTTCACGTTCTTTTTGAATTTTGTTTCTGTGCTCTAGGATGTTAGCTATCCCACCCAATTTTTTGTCATCCACAAATTTGATAAATATTCCCTGCATTTTCTCATTCGAGTCATTAATAAGTCGTTAATAAAAATATAGAAGAGCACTGGGTGCAGGAATGAGCATTGAGGTACTTCACTTGATACCTTTTCTCAGTTTGAGAGGGAGCAATTTTGTTTACCAAGAGCCATACAGTTTTGAGTCTAGAGCAACATGAGTAAACTTAGTTTGTGTTCTTTTTTTTGTTCTTCTTTGACATGTGTTAATTGTCTTCTGAATATTTGACTGCTTTAACAATTTATCCTAAAGAGATCCAGTGCTGTGCTTGATCTCTTTCAGCCTGTGACACCAGATATGGTGGACAAAGCGCTTGACCGCTGTTGTGCCACCACCTCCTCCCTTGACCCTTGCCTGGCCTGGCTAATCAAAGCAGCAAGGCCTATAACAACCGAATGGGCCACTGCAATAATTAATGGGTCTCTTCGGGAAGAGACACTCATTAGGCCCATTAGGAAGAAACCAAGTTTGGCGGCGGATGACAATGGCAAATATAGGCCTGTCGCCAATGTTTCTTTCCTCAGCAAAGTGGTAGGGAGGGTGATGGCTGACCAGCTCCAGGCCCTTTTGCATGAAACAAACGCCCGGAATCCATTTCAGTCAGGCTTCAGGCCATGGCATGGCATAGAAAGGGCATTGGTCACCCTGTTTGATGACCTGCTGAAGGAGGCCAACAGGGCAAAATGCCTCTATTAGTCCTACTCGATATCTCAGCGGCCTTCGATACCATTGACCACGGTATCCTCCTGGGGAGGCTCTCCGAGCTGGGAATCAGTGGTCTGGAGCTAGCCTGGCTCTGATCCTTCTTGGAGGACCCTCCCCAGAGAGTACAGCTTGGGGAGAGTGTATCGGCTCCATGGAATCTTAATTGTGGGGTTCCACAGGGCTCGATTATCTCTCCAATGCTGTTTAATATCTGCACGAGGCTGCTAGGTCAGATAATTAGGGGGTGTGGGGCTTTGTGTCATCAGTACGCTGCTGACACCCAGATCTACATCTCCTTTTCTCCAATAACAGTGGATGATGTTTTGTCCCTTCACCGCTATCTGGGGGCCATATTGAAATGGATGCAGGGGAATGGTCTGAAGCTGAATCTGGACAAGACCGGTGGGTGGCCCCGATGTCAGTGATTTGGGGAACTCCCTCCCCTTTGGGATAAAGCGCTGGGTGACTCTCACCACAAAGAATTTGATTCACAGCCTAGGGGGCCATCTTGACTCAGCACTTATCATTGGGACCCAGGTAGCATCAGTGGTTCATAACGCCTGCCAGCAAAGTCAATTTCCTAAGAAATTGCTCAGCCACGGGCAGAGAGGTTCCAAAGTAAATCGCTCCTTTACCAGGCAAACTGGGTCCGTAAGTTTTGCCTTAGGGTAGCTAAAATTTACTCTGGCACCAAGTCTGACCGATTTTATTGAGAACCAAACCACACACGTGAGTACCAGGGAATTCCATCCTTCTAGCACTCATAAATCAGTTGGACCCAAATTGGTAGCGTTAAGTTACGTGGCCTTGTAAAATACATCAATTTAGATAAGCCAATTATTTATAACAGCTCGTGTCTATTCAAGAAGCTAACTTACAGAGGTTAGGCATATTCATTTTTATTAGAAAAATATAGTTCTATGAGAAATCAGTTTAAGCAAAGCATAGCAAAGCATATTTACAATTTCCAATCCCATCCCCATATCAGGTTTCTGGAAAATCCAAAGTAAACTTTCTCAGTAGGAAGAACTCAGGCTTACTGTCCTTGGGATTAGATAGTCCATGCCGAGTCCTGTATGTTGGCATCCATCTTCTATCTCCCTCGTGGTAGAATCTCCTCCTTTCTTGTTCCCATGAGGCTCAGGGAAAGTTGTTTAGTCTTCCTTACTCTGTACTAGCCAGGTTGCTTGGTTACGAGATAAAACTATGCTGGACAGTACAGATGTACAGCTAGAAATCAACTTTGGAAATTTCCACTCTCAACTCACACACAGAAACAAGATGAATTCATTTTGGCTAATTTTGTGATTACAAATCCCATCAATAAATCATTTTATGCCTATTTCCGTCTTTGACGGATTGCCCAGCTGCGTTCCTATCTTGATATGGGGGCCTAACCCCTCTGGTCCATGCTCTTGTAGTCTCGAGATTAGACTACTATAGTGTGCTCTATGTGGGGCTACCTTTGGGATTGATGCGGAAGCTTCAAATGGTGCAGAATGCGGCGGCCAGACTTCTTACTGGGGTGAGAAAACATCAACATATCACCCCTACTCTGGCTGCCCTGCATTGGCTGCCAATTTGTTTCCGCATTGATTTCAAAGTACTAATTATGACATATAAAGCCCTAAATGGTTTAGGACCTCAATATCTCGTGGAACACCTTCTCCCACCTAGATCTACCCATATCACTCGCTCTAGTATAGATGGGTGGCTGAGGGGCCTAACGCCAAGAGAGGCCCGAAGAGAAAGAACAAGAATGCGGGTCTTCTCGGCAGTGGCCTCTCACCTCTGGAACAGTCTCCCCCCAGAAATTTGTGGCTCCCTTGCTGGGTGTTTTTAAGAGCCAACTCAAGACCCAGCTCTTTAGGTAGGCCTTCGCTCCTGTCAATACCTAATTTATTTGCCATCTTCAATTGTATTGATGTTGTTTTATTTTATTATTCTTGAGTGTTGTTAGCTGCCCAGAGTAGACCGGTCTAGATGGGTGGGATATAAATAAAATAAAATAAAATAAAATAAATAAATAAATAAACAAATAAACAAATAAATAAATAATCAAAGGGGCTGGTTTGATATGTTTTGTACACAAAGGGTTGTAGTACTATGTTGCTTGAGCACATCCTATTAAAAATGTTGACTCTTTGACTGTGTCCTACATTATCTCTGCCACAGAGCATGTTCCATTGGAATCACAGTGACAGTTATTCCCTAATTAACTATCTTGATGTTAGTGTATGACATTTGGAGTGATTTTTTACTGTGCCATGGATGGGCAATTGGGAACCTCCAAATATTTTTATTAACTCCTGTAATCCCTCACCATGTTTAGAGCTAATGACAGTTGTAGGAAAGAAAATACCTAGAGGGCCACAGTTGCCGGTCACTGCATTAAATCTAGCTAATTACGTATTTAGGTCTTTTGCAATAATAATGCAATCATAAAGATATATTTTGGTAGCTTTTTCAGTGTGGAATTTATGTTATTATTTAGAGTTCTACATCAATAAACATTACAATGAAGTAAAACCTTCATTTTGGCTGCATTTGATTATAAAATCAATATGGTGGAAAGAAGGCAGAAAAATTGTAGCATGTCAAGAAAATGTATAGATAGGTTCTACAAAAGAGAATGTATCACTGCATGTAATTCAGAAAAGGCTAGCATTTGAAAGAGAATTTAAATGAGTCCTGAACTTATCATTGCATATTTAAAGCTGGGAACAAATCGATTCAATACTTGAAAATACTGCATAGGAAAACCCTTAAAATTAAAATAAGTATCTTTATAAACAAAAACAATTTCAGAATATTTCATAAATAATCTAGGTTGAATGTCATCTAATCTGAATCTAGTCAGTTCAGATCACACTCAGATGTAGACATGTCATATATTTCCTGTATATTTACCTATTTTATATTTTTAGGATGGAAAGACTCACTTTAAGATTTGTACTTTTGAGGGCACATATAAAAAATTAAACTAATGCATAATGCTGAAACTTGGGCATATATTCTGAATAAATGAAGTTGTTGAATTGTATTTTAAAAGGAGAGAAGCCACAGAAGCATATTGTAATTTTTTTAATTTTTAATTTTTGGTAGATACTGGTGTGTGTGGGGGGAGGATGTTCTTTGACTCATGGGAGTGCTGTAAAACAGTAGTTCTGAACCTTGGGTAATGCAAGTTTCTTTTTCATGGCCTCTGTGAATGCACACATATGGGTATTGTCTGCGCCTGCGCTGACTCTCTCGGAAGATTCTAGAGCTAAAAGTAACAATTTTATGGTGTGATCCTCCACGAGGTATATGCTCCTCCCACCCACCATCTTCCACAGTTCCTTAATTTTATCCGCCCGGTATGAAGGAAAGAATTAATTACCCGTATGTGTGACTTTACAGAAGACCACTCAAAGAACTATGGTTACAGGTAAGTAACCTCTTTGTTTTTTGACTGCAATTCCCAGTAGCCTTCAGCACCACTTGTGTTGGCTGGGGTTTCTGGGAGCTGCAGTCCAAGAACTACTGGATTACCTAAGGTTGAGAACCTTTAAGCATTTCTTTTATATTGGAGTGATTCTTATTTTTTCAGTTCATTTCAATAGGGTGATAAATTATTTTGTGATTCTTATTTCCTGAACGTTATGCCTGAGGCAGAACTATTGAAAGTATATACATTTGTTGAAATTACTGCCTTCATAAAAACAAGCATTCCAGGTAAGTTATTCTTGATCAATGGGTCACACTGGAGAACCAAAACAAGTAGGTACAGTGGTTTTGATTCTTTGTGCCTATGAAATGTCTTAAGTAGTATCTGCCTGAATTGGTAGACAAGTCTGTAGCTTGCTTATGAGTACAGTTTTTCCCCTTCCTTTATTCAGACTAAGAAGCAGCCTTGGTATAATAGTACATTAGCATCAAGGAGGAAGAGACTTACAGCTCATTTTGAAGATCTGGAACAGTGCTACTTCTCCACCAGGATGACTCGTGTATCAGGTAGGATACATGTCAACTACTGAATGGAGAACTGTTTCTTTCTGATACTTAAGGTTCATTCACTTCATATCATTCACTTGCATGGCAGTGTGCTACTCACCTATGATGCGAAGCTATTTCCGTAGACATAGTTGTAATGGCTCAGTTTAAAGTTTGGTTTGCCTTTAACCTCTTTCCTCTCCATGATTATTCTCTCATGTTTATTTCTGTTATTCCCTTTAAAGCTTTAGATTTTTCAAAATGCCTTCCTCTTTATTGTGTCCAATGTTGGGTTTCTATCAGAATCATGTTATGTCTTTGGGTGAAAATTGTGAACTATGTTCTCCCCCAATTTCATTTATTCAGAGTCCATTTAGAGAGAACCTTTTTGGTCTATGCTGCCTTGCCTTCACATCTGCTGCTTTATTATGTGTTTTGTGTCACTCTAAAGGTTCTGTGGAACCATATGGTCAGACTTAAAGTTAACTTTAACCGTATGGTTAAAATTAAAATGAATGATCAAACTAACTCATATCGATAAAATTAAATTACATTAATTATTATTAAATACAATAATTTGTGATTCTCTTGTCAAAACTCTCTCCTTCCCCACATCTAGAACACCACTATGACCATGGCCATGACATTCTGATCCTTTTCTGCAGTGATCTTATACTTTTTCTTAAATTTAGAGTTCTCCATTACAGTTACATATCTGCCATTATCTTTTCCTGTGTGAGCTTTGCCATGGCCAGTGCTCTTCCAGTTAAACCACACTAAGCAGTAATCTTTTAATTTCCTTCTTAAAATACAGTAAATAAAATTGGGACCAATTGAAGCTATAGTTCCAATTCAATTAATTTTTGTATTTAGTTGAGGGACAAACTTAATGTAGATTATGCAGTATGTACATTTTGATGCTCTTTTAAAAAACTTTGATGTTCCCTGCCCCATCCAGATGACAGCAGAACCTCAAGCCAGCTGGATGAATTTCAGGAGTGCCTGTCCAAGTTCACTCGATACAATTCGGTCCGACCCTTGGCAACACTGTCTTATGCTAGCGATCTCTACAATGGATCAAGCATAGTATCCAGGTAACAATGTGATGTGACAACTACTGTCCTTTTGCAAAATCTCATTTTTGGGCAAAGTACTTGAGTGTGTGGTGGCTGGGAAGCTTTGAATGTTCTTGGAGGAAAATGATTATCTGGGCCCATTTCAGTGTTGTTTTAGACCAAGGTTCAGTATTGAAATGCCTTTAGTTGCCCTGACCTGCTTTGGATTGAAGGCAGGGGAGAGCAGCCCTATTAGTTTTCCTGGATCTCTTAATGGCTTTGGATATTGTTTATCATGGTACTCTCTTGGATAGGCCCTGTGAAATGGGAGTAGAGGACACTGTACTACAGTGATTCCATTTGTGCCTTTGGAACTGTTCTCATGAGTGGTGTTGGGGGACTTCTGCTGAACTCCGTGGCAGTTAAGCTCTGGGGTACTGCAGTGTTCCATTCTATCTCCCATTGGAATTTTGGGGTTGGATGCCATCAATATGCTGATGACACTCAGCTCTATTTCTCTTTATCATCGGAACTGGCTGAGTCTGTACAGGTCTGGAGGCTGTAATGAGCTGGATATGGGCCAATAAAGAAAAGCTGAACCCTGACAAGAATGAAGGCTTTGTGGCTCAGTCCCAAAGTCCAAGAGTTGGGAAGGAGATTTGTTCTGGATGGAGTCACACTCTGCCTGAAGGGGCTCATGTGTAGTTTTTGGGGCATTCCTAGATTCATCTTAGTCCTTGAAAGTTCATGTGAGTTCAATGGCTTGAAGTTCCTGGGGTCAGCTTCAACTGCCCTGCCACTTATGACCATTCCTGAACACGGATAACCTGGCTACAGTAGTCCATGCCTTGGAAACTGTCCAGTTAGATTACTGCAATGCACCATATGTGGGGCTACCCTTAAAGATGACATGGTTGCTGCAGCAAGTGCAGTATACAGCAGCTGGACTGCTAACAAGAACATCCTTCAGAACCCACATTGCACCAGTTCTGAAGGAGTCGCACTAATTGCCCGTATGCTTCCAGTCTGAGTTCAAGGTATTACAATAACTTATAAAGCCCTAAACCATTTGGGGCAACTTTGGCATCATTTTGGCAGCAAGTCAAGATGGGTTTTTTAAAGAGCCTTTGGGGGTTGAAGATTGTGGTTTGTGTTGGTTTTAGGGTAGTCTTTTAAATGATTTAATGTTTTAGTGTTTAAATTTTGTGTTGTTTTATTTTAAATATCACATGTTTTTGAATCATTTTATACAGGTTTTTAGCCCGTTCTGAGAACCTGTTCTATAGGTTGGGCTACAGATATTAAATAAATAAATATTTGATTTTTGCAAATTATTGTGTACTCATAGTCCATTTTTGTTTCAAATTTCTGCCTAGATGACTATGGTCCATAACATAAGCATTTTGGTTGTTTCTAAAAGTATGTAAATTTACTACTTGTGATTAGTGCATACCTTTAAAGGATACATTAGCGTTAAAAAGCTTGGAAATCCAAAGTGTGCTGGAATTGTGGCCTGTATTTTTTCTTGCTATGTAAATGCTGTGCATTGTGGAGTTCATTGGGTTGCTTATAGGTGCTTTACAATAAATTAGAAAATAACTTTATTGTGTATGCTTGGGAGAATATTAATTTTTAGGGATAACACTTGTGTACTTCGAATTTGGGAACAATGAAAGCTACTAAGACACTGTTGGACCATCGTCATTTAACTTTAGCTGATAGTTTTCATCCCATGATATTCTTACTAAAGCGCTTAATGTTTCAAAGAAATCTCCATCTGCAAATAATTAGATGAATATTTTAATTTAAACTTAATTTTCAGCCTCTTTAAAAGTGCCTATAAGGATGTTGTACAGGGTTGACTGACATTTGGTAGAGGTCATTGTTTTCAATCTTAAAGAACAAGATGGAACTTTTATCCTGTGTGAACTTTGGTCCTTAGTTGCAAAATCCTCCAAACCAAATATATACTGAATTAGTGTTCTGTTTTCATTCTCTCTCCCCCCTCCCTCCCTCCCTCTCTCTCTGTCTTCCAAATAATTCGGATTCTTTTTTGTGATACCCATGTATCCACACAAAATGGGCAAAATGGGGTGTATGTGCGCCTGTGTGACACAGCTTCGGAAAGTTCCAGAGCTTCAAAAATGAAAGTGCTTAGTGGCCCCACTTTCTTCAGGTTTTTTATTTTATTTTTTTGGGGGGGTCTCCCACTGTAACAGCATGCTAAGGACCACTGGCTTCTGTTACCTTCCTTCTTTACAGTAGGTCTTCTGCTTCTTTTTTCCGTTTCTGTTCCCCCTTCATTCCCCCTGTTTACAGAGGGTTTACCCTCCAATTTGTGACCTCTGCCCTAATGGAAAAGTGTGCCACATGTGGCAAAAGATTCCCCAATCTGAAGGGCATGATACTTGCTTATTTTGCTTAGGGGAAACCCATTTGGTTCAGTACTGTAAAATCCGTAAGAGCTTTACCCCCGTACACTCAATAATCGTCAGTCTCAGCTTTGATCTTTCCTTTGGGAACAATCCCTCTGAGCCACGGATCCCCCTTCAGGATGATTCCAACCACCCAGATGGATCATTCAGCTCTTTCAGGGATAGCCCTGGATGTAGAGTCCATTCCTTCATCTTCTATGAAACCACCATTGAAATTGAGAAAGAAATTGGAGTATGGCAGCTGTAAATGCACAGCAGCCTCCGATATTGATGTGTCAAAGAAGAAGAAATGGCAGCCTGTACATGGCATCGTGGGTATGGCAGTTTCGGATCAGCAGTTAATCATTTGAGGGTCTACCTCTGCTCCCACTACCAATGCCCCAGTATACAGTCTTGGTTTCACAGGGTGAATGCTTGAACCCCTTTGTGCAGAGTGTTGCCGACTTACGGAGAGTGTCATCACTCTGGAGTCTGCTGCAAGAGCAATCCTTACTTCTAGTGTCCCAGGATGACAGTTGAAATCAAGATCCCTGTCTCTTAATCAACGGTCTCCACAACCAGTAGGAAGTGCAGGAAGTCCAGATGGTGATAGTTCTCACAATTGCAACCCCATCAATACTGACTGCAGCCCCATCAATACTGACAATGTTACTAGAGATCTTCATCAATGAGCTCTCAGTATTGTGAGGATGTTTACTACACACACGTCTTCTGCACTCCCTGCTTCATGTACGGGCACATGGTCTGGCCCTCCCTGTCATATAGAACCTGTGATGCTCACAATCCTCTTAGGGATCGCTGGGCACTCGGTCAGAGAGTCCGCCAGGCCCTTATCTACCACCTTTGTGCTGGATCGAGTCCTCAGACCCCAGCAGTGCATAGCATAAGCCCCTTTGAGCAAGACTGACCTAAAAAGAATGCTCTTGCACTTATTTAGTACTTAGCAAGTACTGTACAGACAACATGGGCTTTGTGGGTCCTTAGAACTCATAATAGCTCAGTGAGGTAGGACTCTGAATAGTAGCTAGTTTGTGTCCTTTCCTCTTCCTGGATTTAGCCAGACCTTTGCTGTTCAAGAGACCAGTCCTCAATAAGGATTTTAAGATTAATTTTTTTATTAGAAAAATAAAGTTTCATAGAAAATCAGTTTATATTGCATAAGTATAGCATTCAAGAACGTATTCAAATATTACTGCAGTTAAATAAAATAACTATTTCCCAGCCAAAATAATAAACTTCTAAAAGCTAATCTAGGGTAGGCTATAGAGGGTTAGCCCTCCTCTCTCTTCCTCCTTTATTTACATCCCCCCTCTCTCAAACTACATGCTCATTCCATCATCAGAATAGAAATCCATCATCAGTCTCAATCCATCATCAGTAAAGAATAATAGAAAAATAATGATTTCATGTAACACATCCTCCATTTTCTATTTTCCCAAATTCCTCCCTTCTTGAAGGACTATCTGGCTATTAACCAATTAAATTTAAGATGTACCACCTCTCTCCCCCCACTATTCCCATGAGAGTTGCAGGTGTTGTTTGTTTTCTGTAACAGGCTTGGAATGTTGAGTCTTCCAGGCCCCTTGGTTTGGCCTTACTGGCTGTAACTGTCTGCAGAAAAACATTCTCGTGGTGCTAAGAAAAACACATTCAAAAGTTCCACAAATCATCTCTATGCAGAAACATTCTAACTCCATTTTATGTTTCTCTTGACTACATAACCCATCATAATGACATGCTTCTAATCACATTTTCCCTGATCATGACAGAATCCATTGTCAATTAATCTCAGCACAGCAAGTTTCGATCATGCACACACGCTCCTCCTCGATCTCCAGAAACTTATGCTGCCAGCCCTCAAGGCCGATCTTCCTGAAGATATGAGTGGCGTCCAGACTCCCATTCTCATTGAGATCTTCAAAATCGGTCTCTATCTCCAAACCGCTCTGTTGCCCTCTGCCTTCCACAAGACCAGTGCTACCACCGGGGCTCCCCCCCCCAGCTTCCACCCAAGCCTTGGCTCTCTGGCCCACCTCACCTGAGATCTTACGGCCTTCTCCTAATCCAGACATCTTACTTACCTCTCTATTACTGGTGCTTGCATCAGCTGTTGGCAACTCCCTTTGTTCCTGCAAGAGAAAGACAACCAGACTGACAGCTCTGCTGATTCCAACAGGGAGGAGGGGAAAGACTCTGTTCTTGTTCCAGAAACCTTATGTGGTTCTGACGTCCAAGATGCTGGTCCTGTCTCATCTTCAGAGGATCTGTCTTCCTATAATGATCTAATAGAATGACAGAGTAATTGCAGCTACCGGTTTTCAAGCCAGTACCAACAGCTAAAGATGAAGTTTTTACCTGCATCCACAAGAAGGTGGACATCCTTATTGAAATGGCATTGCTTGAGACCCTGATAGACCTTATCAGACAGTCCTGGCAGAAACCTTCCTCAATCCCACCAACATCCCATAGAATTGAGAACTTCTACAATGTCCAGCAGAACAAAGCTAAGTTCCTATTTAAACATCCGATACTGAACTCTGACATCATCCAAATGAGATCCAAGGGCTGTGCTCGTGACACTCCAAATAATAAAGTCATAAACAA